GGATGTTTTGCCTGCATGCCCGCGTGTGCAGTACTTTAGAAGAAGGTGTGAGATCCCCTGGACCTGGAGTTGCAGATAGTTGGAAACTTCCATGTGGATGCTGGGAATCAATCTCTGGTCCTCTGGAAGTACAGCCAGTGCTCTTAACCACCGAGCTGTCTCTCTAGCTCCAGCAAGCGATTTCTTAGTTATCACCCACAACTGTAGAGAAAGTGTAGAGACTTAGCAGAAAGAAAATAACTTATTTCTTCCAGTCGTCTTTTAGCTGCCAAGACTCCATCTTAGTTTACTTCTCTAGTGCTTCCTGCTGTGGCATTCCCAGTAACATGAAGGCCAGAGGCAAGCATGCTCCTGCAAACCTAAGTCATAAAGTGCTAACCGCATCAATTGACCAGAAAGCCATCGAAGATGATGTTTATCTAATCCGAGGCTCTTTTGGTGGGGTGTGGTATTAGCCATGGTACAGCTACCATGTGCAGGTGGCAGGTTGGGGCCATCCACTGGCAGAGACAGCACATGGGAAAGGCACTTTAAGACAAAACCTAGAGCAATTCATGACATCAATAAACAAGTCATTTTGGGGGTGGATCTTAAAGATGAGCTGTATTCTGGAGGGAAGGAAGATGAAATGAACCTGGAAGAGAATGGAGCTAAAGGAGATTTTGAAGTCACCCTTCAAGAAGAGAGTGAGAACAAGTAATTTATCAGTGGACTCTGCTGTAGTCAGTGAGGCTTCTGACAGGAGAGTTCGATACATAACTGTTCCACAAAAAACAACCACTAAGGCAGAAAGCAAAGTCCTCATTGCAACACATCCATGTCGTTAATTTTGATGACAGAGGGAAGGACACAAATTCAAGAGCATTTCAGGATTCTGCCTGGATTAAAAAAAAAAAATAGGGCACAAACCCCCTTAAAAAAGAAAACCACTGGGTACTCTGACAGATTAGAAAGTGTTTGTAAAGAGTATAATTGAGAAATATATAAATAGGCCTTTCAGAAGGGTGGGGAAGTTAGATGGAGGAGGAAATGACAAGGAACACGGCAGACATCTTAAAGGAGTAACAAAAGATTATTAGAACTCAGCCAAGACACACAGATGTTTCCACAGAATACAGAATGACATGAGCCCAATCCAGCCAGAGGATAAAAGTGGTCTGACAGTTCCTGGAACAGACATCCCAGGAGCAGTTACCATAAATTCAAAATCCCAAGAGTGCTGGCCCCTGGAGCTGGGCCAGCAGTCACCAGAGCCATTCCCTAAACTTGCATGACAAAGGACCACTCCCCCATCTACCTCACAATCTAGGTGGTCTTTAGAATGGCCTTCTGCTCCTCCCTCATGGTCAGGATCGTGAGCTGCATGACAGCAGTTTCATGGATGTGCAGAGAGCAGCAGCCTTGGTAGTACTAGGGGTTAAGGATGAGGGAAAGGGAAGGGTAGGGAGGAGATGCCCAGGAGACTTGGCTGAAAGAAGAAATTGGGGCAGGCCGTTCCAACCCAGCTTATGTTTCCAGAACTGCAGGTGATTTTTGTTTCTGAGATAGGATTTTGGTATGTAGCTCAGGTTAGCCTTGAATATAATCCTCCCACCTTCATCTCGCATATGCTAGGACTACAGGTGGGCACCACTGTGCCTGACTCGAGGCTGAATTGTCTTCATCTGAATTCCCCCAGGCATGGCCTGTAGAGCAGCAGCAAGGTGATAAGTGGAGCTGGCTGAAGTTCAGGTATTCAGGTCCTGCACCAGACCAGTCCAATCAACACGCTGTGTTAATAAGATTCCCCAGGAAGGCATGCATGCATATATCTGCACCAACCCATTCTGTAGCACTGGTGAGGACGACTGTGAGTCCATCTCTCTCCTGGAACTGCAATTTAGCCAAACTGGACTCCTAAGCATTTAACCAAACTGGACTCCTAAACATAAAACCAAACTGGACTCTCTAAGCAGAGAGTCAAGAGTGACTCTCTGGTTTCTCACATTCAAAAGGTCTTCTGAGATTCAGCTCAACAGCTCTCTTCATCATACACATAGGGAATACTCACCATGTTTATGTTGATTATACACTGAAATGAGAGCATTTTGGATTACTGAGTTAAATGAAATATTTTATTAAAATTAATCTCACCTGGCTTTATGAATGTGGCTTTAGCAAACCTAACATCACATGTAGAGATCATGTTAGGTCACTATTGGATGGTGATCCTGGTGAACCCTGCCCTAAGCCCCTCCCCCCACACCTCAGGCTAAGCTTCTTTGCTCTTCAACGACCTAGAGGTGCTTAGAGCATGGCCTCTGCCCCCACCCACCCACCCCACCCCACCCACCCCCCGCTTGAGGCTCTGTGTAACTGTGTGGTCCTGTCCCCAGGCACCGGTTCTTGTGCTCCCTGGATTTACTTGCCAAACTGGAAGGGAACTTTCTTTTACATAGACTTCCCTCCGTAAGTATTCTATGGATGTTAGGATGTTACTGCAGCTCAGGCACTTCCTGATGGCCAGGGGCTGTGCTGCTCCTTACATCACTCTGTGTGGTGCCCTCCACCTTAAAGGAAAAGAAATAAGGCACAGAAAGGTTGCTCACTCACACTTAGGAATCAGTAGAGCTAAAATTCAAGCAAGACCTTTGATTTTCTGCTCGCTGCACAGTACTGCCTCCTAAACGTGGCCACTAAAGGTTAAAAGCTTCCACCTGCTGGTCAAACTTTTGAGTCCAGGACCTCTGTTCTGTCTGGGAAAGAACAGTGGGAAGCACAGCACAGAGTTGCAGGGGAGGCCAGTGGGCTGCTGGAGTCACTTTGTGAATGTTGAGGCTTAGTCTGGCAGGGTTGACAAGTTCTCCATGGCAGGGGGTGACCAGTGCAACCTTCTAGGCCTATAGGGCTTGGTGTGGCCTCCAAGCATAGGAGCTCAAATAGCCTTTTGATGTGGAAGGGGGATGTACGAAGGCCCATTCACACAGAGAGGGCTGCAGCCTTGAGACCATTCTCCTCTTAGAGTTTAAAGCACAAGACAGCTTAAATGCCTGTGCCAATCTATCCCAATTAAGACCCACCCAAAGAGGAGGAATGTGAGCCTTGTCTTGCTCTACTGTGATTGTCCTGCCTCCTTGCCTCTCTTTTCCCGTCATGACCTGGAAATGTTCTCACTAGGTTGAGCCATCAGATCCACCTTCCTGAACAGTAGGAACCAAGAAGAAGGTTCAGAAATTATCTTAGTTTTGTGCAGACCAGGCTAGCTTTGAACTCAGAGATCTACCTGAGATGAAAGGTAGATGAAAGTTCTGAGATGAAAGGCATGTGCCGGTTTCCCTGCATTCCCAATATACCCCAGTGTTCCTTAATATGGTTCATAGAAAATAAGGGCTAACCCAGGCTGCAAAGCTTGGAATTCACATCTGTTTTCTGCAGAAGCCAAGGTTCAGAGGTTTCAAGTCACACACTATGTTGGCAAAAGTTGGGATCAGGACGTTGGACTGTGACTCATAACTCAGCACTTCTCCGCTCTCAGCTCCAAACAGGAAATCAGAAAAGGGAACAGGGTAATTTTTGTTCAAGGGTCTCAATATTCAAGGTTTAGGCTTTGTGATCAGATAATGTAGGGATCATATAGCACCAGAATGGCTTTTGACAAGTTTATCCTAAGACTCTGACAGGAAGCCACTTCCTGTCTCAAATGCCCCTACCACAGGAACGTGAAGGTCACTAAAATGACTGAGTCCCTTAGTTAAAGAATTTAAGGAAAGCATCCAAACTATGCACACTCTACTCAGGGGAACTTGTGTGCCCTGCAACTGTGTGGGGAAACAGAGAAAAGAGGTCAGGTCGCTGGCCCAAGCACACTTCATCCCTTCTAGAACCTTCCAAGGCTACCGTAACCATTTATCTGTATTGCTTACACAGTGTCTCCTGAGAAGGAGGTTAGGAGAACAGTCTTCTGGAAAAGAAAAAAAGAAAAGAAAAGAGAAGAGAAGAGAAGAGAAAAGAAAAGAAAAGAAAAGGAAAGAAAAGAAAAGGAAAGAAAAGAAAAGAAAAAAAAAGAAAAAAGAGCAAGTTTGGCTGCCTTGCTTGTCAGCTCCCAGAAAGGCCTGGGAGGGTCTGGAGAAGCATGTCTTACATCTGAGGGGCTGGCAGACCCCTTTGTCCTTCCAGACATCAGACCCTGAGTCTCTGCCAGTGGCCTGACATGGAATGTTCAACCCAGCAAAGCAGCTTCAGGCTGCCAGGAAGACAAACCAGTGACAAACCCCACTATTATTTATAGTCAAATGTTTCTCCCAGACACTTTTAAGTTAGCAGAAATTATTTTAATCACAGAAGTGGGGGGGGGGAGAACTGAGCAGTATTAATGAATAGACATATTTTTCTAAGATACATATATTTTTATAGTGAGCACTATTACTTCATGGTGATGCTAATGATGATAAATTCTTTCCACTCATTCCCCAAACATTTGGGACCCACCTGTGTAGAGAGTGTCCCAGATGCTGAAGAAGCAGTAACTGACAAGATGATGACCCTGTGTAATGGGTGGTGAGAGGGTGACAAGCCCTGGAGAAAAACTGTGAGGGAGTTTGTAGGAAGGACAGTTGAAAGCTAGGGGCTAACGGGGGCTCTTTAACTTGGGACCTTTTGAAGAACACGAGTGTGAGCGAGGTGAAGGACCAGGGCAAGAGCTCTTGTTTGGGCAAGTGACAGGGTGAAATCCTGAGGTCTTGTCAAACGAGAGGAAGGCTTGGCCACAGTGAGGGGACTGGTCAGGAGAGTGGGAGATGGGTTGGACATCCCTTTGTAAGGTCACCATGAAGGGTCTGTTCTTGGTCTTGGTGTGATGTGAGTCATGGCAAGGCTGGAACATGAGCCCTGTCAATCAAAAGCCCCAAACTGGGTGTGGTGTCTCTTCTAAGTCCCCTCCATCTCTGGGAGAGGGTGGAAGGGCAGCAGGAGACCCTGGACCTGGCAGCTCAGCTCCCGCCGCAATGCCCCATGGGACACACCTTCCACAGTCAGCTCCACGGTCACCTGGCGGGCACCACTGCTGTTGCTAGCCTCACAGGTGTACTTCCCGCTGTCCTCCTCGCTGACAGTGCGGATGACAAGGCTGAAAGTCCCTCGCACTCCACAGTCCAGCAGGAAGCGGCCCCCGTTGGTGATGGTTTTCCCATTTCTGTGCCATGTCACCTGGGGCTCTGGGTAGCCCCGGACCTACAAGAGGAAGAGACTGTAAGGGCTTCTGCTCCACACATGCTCACTGTGTGCTGTAGGGTTCAGAGTTCATGCTTTCTGTGCATCAGACACTGGGTTTCAAGGACACTACTAGAAAGGAAAAGAAAATATCTTAATAATCTGAGCACTGTGACACTCGTAATTGCAGCACTTGTGAGGTGGACACAGGAAATTGGGGCCTCAAGGCGATCCCCAGCTACATAGAAAGTTCAGCCTTGAGCTATGTACGACTCCCTCCCCACCAAAGACAAAAACAAACTAACACCAAAACCCTCAATATGACGTAGCATTGATTATATGATGGGATATTTTATAAGTCATAAAATAAGTCATATTTTAATTTGGCAGTGAATCATTAAGATAAATTCTCACCTGTTTCTCTCTGTGGCTATTGGGTAGGATGGCCCCCTACAAGTGCCTCCCATGGCCTTTTTTAGGATAGCTCAGTACCAGATCTCTGCCAGATCTAGCAATAGTTATGAGTGTCTCTGAGTGCTATCTGTTCAGTACTTTCCCAGGTACATGACTCAGCCAAGCCTCAGAGCACCTTATTCAGATAGTACAGCTCGTAAAAGAAAATTAGGAGATAAGCTCCAATCTAAGAATACCCCTTGAGGGGTTAGAAAGATGGCTCAGCAGTTAAAAGCATTTATTGCTCTTGTAGAGGATGTAAACTTGGTTCCCAGCCATGTCAGGAGGTCTCTCCCGTGTCGGGAAGCTCATAACCACCTGTAACTCCAGCTTGAGGGAATCCAAGGCCTTCTTCTTGACTCCTCAGGCACTTACACTCAAACATGCATCTACACACACACACATACAAAGAGAGAGAGAGAATTTTTAAAAATTCTGTTTGAGTTCCAGATAAGAAAATTCTCTAAGAGTCCTTGAACATCTGAAACTCAATGGCCCCTCAGGCTGGACCTATCTTAAGAAGTGCTTAACCCAGTTCACCCATTTCAATGAGGACCCAGAATTGGGCAACTTCTGCACTGGAAAACAAACAAAGACAGCTTGGAAGCCTCTTCCAAGACAGAAGGAAGTTGCTTTTGTTACAAAATACCACAGGGACAGCTTTTATCCATGCAACCAATCCAAGGCAAGGAAGGATAGCTTCAGGTGAACACGTGCATACTCTATAGCTCTCCCTCTTCCTTGTAAGGTTAGGTAGTGATGGTGTCTGTGTGAAGGGTACCATCCATTGGAACTCCTGGGCATCCACACATAGCTGCTTCCCTAAGCACTGTTTTAGGAGCAATAACTGTCTTTTTCTTTTTGTGATCCTCTCCAGCCTCATGGCTATCTGTATCTGTATCTGTATCTGTATCTGTATCTGTATCTGTATCT